TCCTATGGCAACCAGAAGTGATTTTCGAAGGTGTATGAAAATTTTGGAAAACAGAATTTTCAATAATAATTGATATTTCTCACTTCACAAAAAAATTATACTACACTAAACATCATCTTTAGAATAGCAACCTCCAGAACTGCTATTCAGATAAGGAAATAATAATAATAAAAAAGATTGTTAAAGGTATTTTCCTCAAATAGGAAGTCTCAGGGTTTTAAAAGATGAAACTTCAGTAATGTTCTTTTCTTCAATTTGAGGCAATGACACATTTTTTTTCTATAAGATTGTAAAAATAACATAAAGTATGTCATCTATCTTCTAGTAACTGAAAAACATCTATCTCAATGTGGTTATCTTTGACCAGCCAGATCAGACTGCCTTGGAGGGCATGGAGATTATACAGCACAGGAGAATATAATACAACCAGTTCAAATTCGAGATTACATGATGTCTGGTTTTACTTCAGTTTTAACACTAAGAATCCTTTGTCACATGTGGCAAAGCTTTTCAAGCACAATGATTTCATTTTAATTCATTTTCAAGCAGATTTCAAAATACTTTACAAAATTGAACACTAACACATTTTGGAAGATTTAAAATATTTCAAATGAACAGCAGTTTGGATTGTTGAGGATGCTCTCAGTAGGAATTTCAGATAACAAGCCACAGTATTAAGTGGTAACAAATATCTCTTAAAGATATCTCTTCAGAAAATTAAATTGGTATACCTTTTATAATAGAAGAATTTAATAATAGAAGAAGATAGTAGTTAAAAGTACATCAGACTGTTGCTGCATGCAATAGTTTATGTCGCAAGATTTATTTTTTGACACAGAATTATTCTCACACTTGTTAAAGCATGCAGTGTCTACAACTCCTAGCACAACAGCTATTAGAATTTTTTTAATAGATTTTTATTCGCCTAACATATGAAACATCTCCAGTAGGCCTTCAAAAATGATGTGACTTATATTCTTAATGGACAAAAATATTTCAATAATTTAATTGTTTCAAGAGTTTTTATTTTGAATGGAAAAATTCTCGTGGATGCATCGAGGAGATTCAAGGAGTTTGTTAATGACAACTATACAAGTATCAGTGCAGGATAGTGTAATAAAGTACAATAACAACAATGCTCATTGTCAGACAAGAGGAAATAGAAGTATTATACACCTCAGAGATCATGAATTACATGAAAGAATACCTACGTTAATCTCCATTTCAGCAACATTAAAAGCTAGGACTTTGGATGGTGCCTAGTGTGGAACTAATCCTTCATGCAGAAAAATGCAGGCAAATCCCTGTGCTCACACCTGTTCCATGTTAAGCCTGCAGAAGTAGAGGAAAGTAATGCTTACTAAACACTGTGAAAAGTACTATTCAGGCTGACCCTCTTCTATTTGTCAGAATTTGGGTCCAACTCTGAACTTCAGAGATGCTGGCATCACTCCAACCTTTAATTCCAAATCATTTCTGGGACATCAGTATCCTAGTATGTATTTTCCAGTTTATGAAATGGGAACAAATAATTATGTGATCTCTGAAGCTGCCAATAGGATAAAGGTTTTCAGCAGATAACTAAGCTGTAATCCTGTTTGCCACAGATAGAAGTGGTCAAGTAGTCCTTACATTACCTTACATAATTTCTTCAACTGATGACTAGAATTGGTCTACATTTGCCTCTGTTTCTAAGTAGGAACTTAATACTCTCCAGAAGCTCTTCCTGTACGTGCTGGCTTCTACCATTCATGATACTACTGCTCAAATGAATGTGCTGTACTTTTTTTCTGGCCTTTTATCTACAGGGCTGGCACACAAAAAATGCACATTAAATGCCCTACAGAGCTAAATTATCTAACTATAGAAATTAATACAGAAAAGCAGAAGGCTAACTGAAAAATTAAGCATGATTAAACTGGATAGATACATTTTCCTAAGAAATTTGAAAACAGATTAGAGATTGAAATGCCATTTATAAACAGCAATGATGTTCCAGACATTGCAAGCAGTTTGTCAACACAAAAGACTATTAGACAGATCAGAGATCACAGAAGAGAGCAAAAACATTCATATAAAGGACCATAGGGAATTTAAGGGAAGTATAGTTTCACAGAATGCAGCGTGAAATGTTTGTTCTTCCTTGTGCGGATGAGAACCAGAAGGTAAATGAAGAGTTACAGAAAGATTTAAAAATATGGCAAGTGTGAGAGTTCAACCACCAGCTAATAATGTTAGGTCAGGAAAGATGAGCAACTTCCACTGTCGTTTCTTAGATATCTGATTCTACATAGATTTCATAAGTAACTAATTCGTAGAATTGTCTGAGTTGGAAGGGATCTTTCAGGTCATCGTCTGGAGAAAAAACAACCTGCGTGTTTGTAAGATTATACTGTATAGATAACACTGAATGCAGATGCAGTTAGAATATAACAAATTAAGTGATGAGCATGACCTTATGGTACGCTTTAGTAGCAAAGAAATACAGTAAAAAGGACAGGAAGGTGAGTGTCACTGACTCAACATATGACTCCAAACTTTATTTATCCTTTTACAAATTAAATGGATCTGGGACACAGTGTAACATAAGGCTTAGATATATAAAAGATCCTACAAGAAGTGGGTTAATATTTATTTTAGTTCACCCCTACAAAAGCTCTAGGTTTGCAAGATGGAAGGGTTGGCTGTCTCCCAGTAAACCACAACCACTCCAACTTTGGTGTGGCCAATAGTGATATATCAGAGGGCTGTACTTTACTTGCATCTTCCAATAATTTTCACAGTGTTGCTCAGGGAATCAGTTTGCAAGTGAATATAGTGTTGTACAAATCAGCAAAAATGGTGAGTCCAGACTTTTTTTTTTTTTTTTTTAAGGTCAGTGGATCAATTGTTTAGTTGAGGTGAACAACAAGAGCTTTGATGTTTTGATGCTCCAATGGGAAAAAATGTTAACAGAATTCACGTAGCACTGTGCTTCAGGGTTTTTTATGTATTCATTCAGCTTTGCTAAAGAACAAAGTTTGTGAAAATTAGTGGGTAAACCTTATTTCATGCATCATTTGCAGTAACTTTTTTCTGTATTTCGGCTGCACTAAAAATATCTCCATGAGAGATAAGAAAGGTGCTAGAACAACCAGATGGCACTTGCTTACATTTATAACATTCATGTCTAGGGATAAGCCATATGAAACATTCTAAAAGACTATGAAATGCTTACATCATAAAGAAAACAGATTTAAAATTAATCGTTTAATTTTATAACGTGATCTCAGACAATAATTTAGAAGATTAAGACAAATAATTCCAGAAGTATCTGCAGCTTGCAAAATGCTAGCCTCATGTAAACAGAAATGAGCCAATCTACAACCCCCATTCTAGATATATTCATACACATACACAACTGCTGGCATAAAATAGTTCCTAAATTATAAAAGTATGTTTTTCAGAATCAAGGATTTTCCAGGACTACTTGTCTTCCTTCCTCACTCTGGTGCACCTAACAAAAATATTACATTTAAATTTACCAAATAAAATCTTCTTTTGAATCTTGGTAAGTAACAAGTTACTTCACATGCAGTGAGATTTATTTTTTCCACCCTTTTACAGTCTGGGTGGTTTGCACACATAAACTGCATTAAAAGACACAGAGTTCTCTGTGTTTGCTGATGAGCAAAAATTACTAAATAACAATGCCAAATCCTGCTGAAGTTATCTCAGAGTCTCATCCATGGCAGAGAGACTTTTCATCCCTCATTAGTAACTCTGTGAATAGTTTCTTCTCCTAAACTGTAATAACAAGAATTAATACGATTAAATAGGTAATGCCTGTAATGAAAGTATATACACCTTAGCCTGTTGCCTTATCATTTCCATGGGAATTCCAGTCCAAAGAATGATTAAATTCATCTAACTAAAGACAGATAAACTACACCTCAAAAAATGCCTTATGTTCCTGCATTTTATCTAAAAAGCTCTGGATGATTAGCACAGCTAATACTGTCTACCGTACAAAATCTAAACAGAAGTTAGATGTCTGAAAGCAGGTTTACGAGACAGTATGCCAAAGGTATACCTTCTTCTTCAAGACTGAGACTGCCATGAAAAAACTCACTTCCTATGAAATTATTTGCTCAGTATTACTGATACAAACACAAAGGCTATTCAACTGAGGTTTCTGCAGTTCTGGAAAGCAACGACATTGTTTCCTGTCAGAAATCCATTCCAGCACACTATTTTGTGTACACCAGTTTGCCAGCACACTATGTTATGTACACCTCACTTAGACATAATCTGCTGTCCATGCTCTGACCAGAGTAAGGGAGGGAAACTTGCAACCTTCCATGCCTGGCTTGGAACTCCTCAGATTATACAGCCATCACTATCTGACAGAGTTCTATTGCTGTAGGTTTTGCATTTCTACACCTAGACATATGGTTCCCAGCAATGGTTCAGCTACACCTCACAGAAACACCAAGATGCTGACACAAAAGCTTCAGGCCACTGTAAGGTTCAGCAGGTATTCCCTCCCATCAGCATCCTTATTTCCATTCCTTTTGGTTTCTCCTCTCATCCTCTCCTTACCCCCTTCCTCGGCCCCCACCAATTCTACCTTGCCTCCTCACTTTTGTTCTCACTGCTGCTGTTGCGCTGAACTCACAGATCTCTTCAAGGCAGCTAAAGATGCCCCATTTCAGAGGGGTATTTCCCCCCCTGCATTCTTGGTGCTCCCTTGTTTCTCCTTTTACCTACCAACTATTCAGCCTGTTTTCAAGCATCACCTCAACTTCTCCCCTCATGTTAGGCTCAGACTTCAGCTTCAAACCCAGTTCACTTGAAGCAGCCCACTCCAAAATCCCTACTAGCCCATTTCTGACCCCATCCCACAACCCACACTCTCCGTCCCAAGGCTGCCACCTGTTTCCTCCCCCGGAGGACCATCCCACTCCCTTGATGACTGGCGGCTTTGCCAGTCACCACCTTTCAGTATTTCCTCGTCGTACCTCGCGCGGTACCCACAGCCCCAGAAGGCTGCGGCGAGGAGAGGCTCTCGCTTTTCAGCCGAGGCGCTGTGAAGAGTCCCCGACGGACCCAGCCCGTGAGCCCCTCCCTCCGCCTTCCCTCCGGGCGCAGCCGAGACGGAGGAGGAAGAGCGCGCCGGGCCAAGCCCAGCGCCAGGAAACGGCCGGCCGGCCCAGGCGCCAGCACCGGGCAGCCACCGCCCTCCCGCCTCGGCCGCTGGGCGGGTGGCGGCGCGACTCCGCCCCGCTGCGGGGCTGGCAGAGGCGGCTCCGTTCGGCGCCGTGACGCCGGCGGCGCTGGAACACCTGGAGGGGTGGCGGCGGTGCCTCCGGCTCGGCCCTGCCCTCCGCTCCTCGGCCGCGGGCAAGGTGAGTGCAGAGAAGGGGGCCCCGCCGGGCTCCGCGCTGGGACCTGCTGGGGAAACGGGTTCCGCCGGCTGCTGCCGGTGGCGGGCAGCCTCCCCCCGCAGCCTGCCCGCCTGCCTGCCCAGGGGGGAAGGAGGCGACGCGGCGGCCGGGCCTGAGGCGCTGATGCCCTCCGGGTTAAAATCGGCGAGGTGCAAGATGGCATCTTCCCCCTCTCTCCCGCCAGGCGGTTATCTCATCGTGATTATTGCATTTATCCGTTTCTGCCTCCCTTCCTCCCGTACATCCTCCCTGGCTCGGTGCCCACTGGAAGCGGGGAGGATGGGGAGGAAAACGGCCGCTTCTGCTCCGTGGTTTCCGGCTTTGCTGCCGGGTTAAAATTCGGGCTGCCCGCCACTGTGACCCCGGGGCCGTGCCTCTGGTGCCTGCGCAGGGTCAGGTGCACAGCGGACACCTACAGCTGGCGGCACTGGAATAATTGTAACAGAATACTTCTCATTTGGAGCTTGTTTTGTTTGATCTCGATAACCAGACCTGCATCCATCACACTGGTGTGTGAGTGCTGTCAATCTCATACATTGGGTTAGAATAAAAAGAAGAAAATTAGTTAATCAGTTTTTAGTAAGAGGAGAGTATGAAGGGTGCTGTGGTCTTTTTTAGCTTGTAGTACTGTGTACACATTCAGCACCAAGTGTAAATAAGTCTCCTGTCACCTGGTGCTGTGGGCTCAGGGCCTGTATGAGTCCTTGAGCGTTCAGTTTTGCCTCAGTGCATCCAGTTTTGATTTATAGCTGAGAAAGACAATCTCAGAGGTGCACCGTGGAGTCCCCTGTCCCAGATGACACCATGTTGATATTCTGGAGCTTGGTGTGAGTGTAGTTCTTCTGTTTGGTTAACTACCATTTTCCTTTATCCACAAGCCTTGCTGTAGAGCAAGGCAATAATTTGTTTCTGGGAAGCACCTGTTCAGGTTTTTCATTTGTTTGTTTTCCTTATGTTTTATTCGTATATCTTCCTCCTTGAGTTTTGTGCTAATTGGATCTAGTTTAATTTGGACTTGCTCTTGTTCCAGAGCAAACTTCTTGGAAGTAAGCTGTTCTGGTCCAACAAAGCTGTTGTTGAAAGTGTTTGATCACTTTTCCAAAGCGTTGGGGCAGAGAAAGTAGTAGGCTGGATTTGTTTATGGTCTTTCGCCTGATTTCCCTGTTAATCTACTCTTTTCCAACTCTATTCAGAGTTCCAGGGAGTGGAAGTTCCTTCTGATAGTGTTTTCTTCCTGGCATTAGCTGAGGAGCTGTAGTTTTGATTCTAGTATTTAGCATGAAGTCTAGGAACATCTCATTTAGATGTTAACGTTTTGAATACCCTATTAGCCTATTGGTTTAACTTTAGTGACTTTATGATTTGAGATTTATGCTAATACTGATACAAAAGGAATTCACCGTAAAGCTATGGGGATCTCTTGTGTAGTGAGGTGCCATAACTGGTAAAACCAGTTGTGTTTTTTCCATGGCAAGTTTTATCTGAAGGTGATGTGGCAGTTAAATGCTGTCAGATCTTGTTTAAAGCTACCTTACTGTTTAAGCTTCATATGTGAAAGTTATTTCCAGAAGGGTTCAAAAGACAGCGTAGTGAAAAGTCAGTTGCTTGCAACTGGAATTTGCCTGCTTCTTAAGAATGAAAGAAGTGTTTTTAGATGAAAGGGATTTCCTCCATTGTCTTCATGAGAATTGAGATTCAGATATACATACTACTAAAGTTTTGCACATTCAAGAAAATCAGTTCTCCATATGGAAAATTAGTTCTTCACACTTTTTTTTTTTTTTTTTTTTTTTTTTTTTGCGTAAGATTATATCACTGTAGAAAGTAGAGGCTGAGAGTCACATATTGCAAAGTAAAATTCCATTTGAACCCTATTACAGGGCTGTTTGGTTTTTTTTTTCCCCCTTTAGTAGTCTCAAGTATGCCTGTCTTGCCCATTCTTCTGTTCTGCACCCTTTACAAGGCTGCTAAATTGTTCTAATGATTTCCCAAGTAACATTTTCTGGAAGAGCAGAATAATAACAGCTCTTGTCACTCTTAAACTGGTGCTGAAAGCTTTTGGTATGAGTTGGCAGAAAAATGTGCTTGTATCTCAGCTAATGCTAAACATCAAGAAATATCCTCAAAGACTCTTTCATACTTTTTTCAAAGTCTTCTCCAGCAGCATGGCTCTGAAGTTGGTTCCTCAGGATGTTTTGCAGCTGCTTAACTATAAAATCACTTTAAAGACACAATTATGCCGTGGGATGCAGAAGCATTAAAATACAAAAGCCTGGAGAGTGCAGAATGTTAAACAAAGAACCGTGTAGTCAAGAGCAGTGGAGACATTTGACCTTTTGCATGTTTCTAGCAGTAGTCTCACAGTAGCTTTTCCTGCGGCTATTGTAAGCCATGGCAAAACGAGGGGCATTTTGACCGGTTATGCAAGCGTTTACGTCAACTTGGGAACTGTCTGTTCCCAGTCACTGAAACAGTGCCCAGGTCCATCCTGTGAGTAGCTTCGTAGGCATCACTGCTGCTTGGGAAACATTCAGCAAGTGTGCCAGGCTCTGAGAGCAATAAAGCACAGTTTGAGAGGGCTGTGCATCTGTCAGAGATATGCAGACTGTATTGATCGTGGTCTTGACTAAAAGTGTAGTGGAAGAAGATCGCCTCTTCTTGTTTTGCTGTGCGTGCTATACCTGTTTTGTTAATCAAATTTCTTACCACTGAAGTGAAAAGATCTCGTGAGGAATTATAGAGAAGATTATTTTTCCTGTTCTCTACCCTTGCGTTGTTCCCCCTCAGGTATAATAGCACTGCTTCCTGACATCTGCACTGATAAAAGGAAAGAAAGAGGCAGACTCTTGAGTGTTGACGATGTCAGCAAATAGGGCATCTAAATGAGAGAGGTGTTGGTTTGAACTTTAGAACCATATTTGTGACAGCATTGGTGTGAAAAAGGTTTTGTGAGTTTTTGTACATCCTCTACTTTTTCCATCTGTTCTACAAAGGGAAGGGTTCCTAACATTAACACTCTAGACTGGTTATGGGTAGAACGTGTCAGAGAAACTGTCTTCATATTGTCTTTTATAAACTATGCACAGCAGGTGTTCCATATGGCACTTTCTTTAATAGTATTTGGCCACTAAATTTAAAAATATCACTTTAAAGCTAGAAGAACAAATGCATATTACAAAACAATTGGATAATAATTTCAGGAAAATGAAGTGAATCTGCGTTTGGAGTGAGATTAAATACTGGACTGCATATATCCCCAGTTTTGCTCATTTGCAGAGTGATGTTAGACCCACCACTCAACTTCTTCCATGAGACACATACAATACTTATTTACAGTACTTACCTGGTTCTTTCCTAAGGACACTCTTTGCTCAGTGTTCTCACAAATATAAATGGAAAACTGGTAGTCAAGCGGAAGCTGTTGCCTGAGGACAAGCTGATACTATTTGCTGTTCTTGTACTGTTTCACAAACAGCTTCTGAAAAATCAGTGTAATCAGAAGTAGTTTAAAATGAGTTTTATGTGTGTCTAAATATCTATGTCTTTCTGTATATAAACAGTGAAAGATTTGTGCGCAGTTTATCTGGAAAGGACTGTTGTTTACTTGCTGATCAGCCAACTGTGAGTCAAATAGCACTTATTTGAAATATTTTGCTCTGAGACTACACGTACCATGTTGTGACTACATGTTACCATTCTTATGTTCTTGAGATAAAACACTGTTTATAAGAATTTATTTTTCAGTTGTTAAAAAAACAAAAAAAGCAGCTCTGTTTTTCAATTCTATATATGTTGTGCTCTGAGAAGATGGAGATTACCCATGCCTGTAAATTTATGGCTTAATACTCTTTGGTATAGTTTGCAGGCACATAGTACCAATATTTAAAAAAAAAAAGGAGGAATGATAGCAATTGATCTGGTCCTTGCACTCACATGGGAGCAAAAATAGGTTTAAAAAACTCAGTGATATTGTCACATTTTCACATCTTCATGTCAGCTGAAACTTATCTCTGGCAACTCTTAATACCAGAAAGCAGTGCAGCTCAGATATATTTATACTCAATTTCAGGGTATAAGTGCATGGTAAACTTCTAACGTGCAAATTTACTGTATTTGTCCACAACTGTCTTCTAGTAAATTATACATATTGAGAATAGAGAAATAAAAAAATTCAAATGATTACAAAAGAAATGAGGCACTGGCTGTCATCCTCAATTTTGACTGCATCAGGAAACTAAGCAGAGTAATTTCCTATTTTAATTGTGCATTCTGCAATAATTATTCCATATTAGAAGCATAATAATTGTTTTTAGAATAAAGTAACTCTTAGAGTACTCAGTGAAGTACCTATTGGTCATCTGCCTTGTGTAGAAATTATTGACAATCAGCTTAATGCACAGTGAAAGGTGGGCCATTACATACTTAATGTTAATAGTTCTGCTCATTTTGCTGGGTCTGTTGTTTGCAGATAGGTCCCCAGGTATTGCTAAAAAATGAAGATCTAGACCTCCAGATTTCTTCATACCTTATGTGTGACTTCTGATGGTTCAAGTCCTTAATCACAGAATCATGGTCATTTATTGTGCCTACTTTTTTTTTACTGTGGCTTGTTCTCCCTGCAATTGATCAGCCTGAAAAAGACAGCAAAGAATGCTATGTAGGCTCCAACTAAATGTAAAATGGGCTCCAGTTTCTATTTTGAGTGTGCTGTTGTTGGCTGGTTGGTTTGCT